TAGGTTAGGGTTAGGGTAGGGGGTTAGGTTATGGTTAGGATTAGGGATTTAGGTTAGGGTTAGGGTAGGGGGTTAGGTTATGCTTAGGATTAGGGATTTAGGTTAGGGTTAGGGTAGGGGGTTAGGTTATGGTTAGGTTATGGTTACAATTAGGGAGTTAGGTTAGGGTTAGGGTAGGGGGTTAGGTTATGGTTAGGATTAGGGATTTAGGTTAGGGTTAGGGTAGGGGGTTAGGTTATGGTTAGGATTAGGGTTAATACAGACGACAAACTAGAAAAACTAAAAATACTTAACGTTTTTACATTTTATCAGACTTAAAAAAATAGAAATTAAAGAAATGGATCATTTCAATTTTCCATCTAAATTACACGAAGAATGTGAATTTCAGTTTAAGTAAAAATTTAGGAAATCTGGAGATTGTCTCAGGAAAGAATAAATTAACCTGTAAAAACTGCTTCATATAATACTTTCAGAATATTTTTACCTTTTATGTTATCGTAAAAATGTGCAGAAAATACAGACTACAAACAAAAAAAAATTAAAAATACTTAATGTTTTTACATTTTGTCAGACTTAAAAAATAAAAACAAAAGAAATGGATCATCTCAAATTTTCATCTAAATTATACGAAGAATGTGAATTTCAGTAAAAATTTAGGAAATCTGGAGATTTTCTGAGGAAAGAATAAATTAACCTCTAAAAACTGCTTCATAGAATACTTAAATAATATTAATACCTTTTATGATATTGTAAAAATATGCAAAAAATACCGACTACAAACTAGAAAAACTAAAAATACATAATGTTTTTGCATTTTATCAGACTTAAAAAATAAAAACAAAAGAGATGGATCATTTAAAATTTCCATCTAAATTACACGAAAAATGTGAATTTCAGTTCAAGTAAAAATGTAGGAAATCTGGAGATTTTCTGAGGGAAGAATAAATTAACCAAAATAATATTTTTACCTTTTATGTTATCGTAAAAATGTGCAAAAAAATACAGACTACAAACTAGAAAAACTAAAAACACATAATGTTTTTGCATTTTGCCAGCCTTAAAAAATAAAAACAAAAGAAATGGATCATTTCAATTTTCCATCTAAATTACACAAAGAATGTGTATTTCAGTTTTCAGTTTTCTGAGGAAAGAATAAATTAACCTGTAAAAACTGCTTCTACTTTCATAATATTTTTACCTTTTATGTTATAGTAAAAATGTGCAGAAAATATAGAATACAAACTATAAAAAATTAAGAATACTTAATGTTTTGACATTTTGTCAGGCTTAAAAAATGAAAACAAAAGAAATCATCAGGATCAGGATCATTTTTAGCGGAAAAAAACAGCAACAAGCGACATAAACACCAGCAGCACCCCCAAACAGGCTGGAGAGGGAAATGGAGGCCACGTCACTCATCACGTGACCGCTCACCTAATGGCGGCCAATCAGCGGCTCCGGCCCGGTTCTGGACCTGGTTCTGTACCCGGTTCTGGGCCCGGTTCTGGACCCGGTTCTGGGCCCGGTTCTTGTGGTGGTCGGGCCGCGGAACCGCTGCCTTCCGCCTCCAGCCGCGATGACGTCACTGGCGGATGGTCTCGCGCCTCCCGGGGAGCGGACAGCGCGTGCGGCCGACGGCCCGACAGGCTCCGGTGTGTTGTGCTGTGTTGTGCTGTGTTGTGGGTCGGTTCCGGTCCGTTAGCTCGGTTCCGCCGCCGGTGACTCACGCGGACAGAACCGTCCGCGTGTCAGGCGCGCGC